TAATATATATATATACTGTGCTAAATAGTGTATATACTGCACAGTCGTCATAGTCGTATGTATGCATACCTACAGTATATATATATATACGAGGAAACAATTCTTNTCAAACGAAATAACAGCTAGTTTTTTTTGCGGTGATTAAAATTTTACTCCTTGGTGACAACGAGGAAAATGCAAACAATTGTAAAAAATAATTTTCTTATTACATTTTAAAGCTAAAATTATTTCCCTAGACAAAGCGAAATTTGGAAACAATTTATCTAACTAATTGTAAGTAAAATGAGTGTTTTTTCTTCCTTTTTTTAATGAGATTTATCTATGATATTTCTTTTTTTAATTAGCATTATTGAATAGTGCAAGTTTCAATCTCAACCTTACAATACGCATGTAAGTGGGTCTACGTTTATTGCATTAATAATAAAAAGCATGCAAAGATTATAAGACTAATTTAAACAGGTAGGTGCATATTTACTATAGCATTAGCAATATATTAGACGTGTGAAGATTTTAAAAACATCATTTTAGTACATGAAAATCGGCACAAAAAGATTCCCTTATAATTTTTGAATATTTGGCTGGATTTTTTTTAATTCTGTAAATTGAGAGAAATATCTCGAAATGTGTATATATATATATATATATATATATATATATATATGATAAATATTATTTAAAAAAACAAAAATTTCTCGATATGCTTGAAGTACATTTTTCCTTTGTCAATTATGCAACATGTATTTAGAAATAGAAAAATATGCAATTAAATTTTAAAGAGTTGAAAAAAGCAACGTTAAAGGTATCGTTCTTGCCTAATCCGTAATGATTGATGATCGATCTTAAATAAATATGCTACACGTAAGCCAAAACGGCAACTTCCTAATATTGCAAGTGAATTTAAATTATATAGCAATAAAAAAAAATATTGATATCATCTCCGTTTCTATTGAACAAAGTCATTTTTAAGGTAAAAAAAATCTATTTGCTTATTACATATTTAAAAACTCTCATCCAAAAAACTATCAAGTACATTTTAAAATGTTTTGCGTTTTTATTTGCAGAAGTAATATAGCATGTGATTAAAAAAAATTAAAATACGGCAATAATAATAATGCAGCAGAGTATAAAATGTCAAAATATAACTGATATTAAACCAAAACAGTTTATAAGACAAATAAATATTTTAAATAAATAATATCTTAGCTATCACAAAAATATTGTACAAATTTATAAAGCTGGTACACATTTAATCCATATTTTTCTTTAAGGAATTTCTACCCGATAAGCTTAAAGTGCTTTTTTCTTTCTTAATAATGCAGCATGTATTTAAAAAGAGAAAAATGTGTATTGAAATTTTAAAGAGTTAAAAAAAGCAGCTTGAAGGTACAGTTCTCGCCTAATCCGTAATGATTGATGATCTATCTTAAATAAATATGCAACACGTAAACCAAAAGGACAACTTCCTAATATTGCAAGTAAATGTAAATTGTATAGAAATGAAAAAAGAAAGTGTTATTGATATCTTCTGTGTTTTTATTGAACAAAGTCATTTTAAAGATAAACAGATACCCTATTTCTTTATTACACATTCAAGAACTAATAACATCAGATAAAACTGGTTGTCTTTATTTAACTTTTAAGGCTTTAAAACATTTCTTAATTTTGTTTTGATTTCTTCAACTACATGAAATAAACACTTACTTCTTGTTTTTTTGGTTCAAGAAATTTAATTTAAAACTGAATTAAATTGCCTTTCAAAACAAAATGTAACATAATATTAAATGCCAAAATATAACTGAAGTTAAACTCAAAGAGTTAAGACAAATAAATATTTTGAATAAATTTATAAGTCATCACATAAGTTTTGATAAAATACGTTTTATAGTTGCTGCACGCTCAATATATATTTTTATTTAATCAATTTCTTCCCGATATGGTTGAAGTACGTTTTTTCTTTCTCAATAATGTAACATGTATTTAGAAAGAGAGAAATATGTATTGAAGTTTAAAAGAGTTGAAAAAAAAGCAACGTTGAAGGTATCGTGCTCTCCTTTATCCGTAATGATTGATGATCGATTTTAAGTAAATATGCAACACGTAAACCACAACGACAATTTCCAAATATTGCAAGTAAATTTAAATTGTATAGGTGTGAAAAAAATGTTATTCATATCATCTCTACTTTTATTGAACAAAATCATTTTTAAGATAAACTGATAATCCATTTCTTTATTGCACATCAAAACCACTGATAACCACTTGAACCACTAATAAAATATTAAAACATTTTTTTAATTTTGTTTTAAATTATATAACTTCTTAAAATAAACACTTACTTCTTATTATTTTTATCGAAAAATGTAATTTAAAATTGAATTAATTATTTTTCAAAGTAAAATATTTAATTTTCTGTATTATATATTTTTCAGAACAAGTTTTTTTAGCAATTTAATATAGTGGAATAAAAATAAGCGAAGCTTAGGAATATTTTAAAATTTATAATTAAAAAGCAATGCGATTTGAATTTGATACAGGAAAAAATTTAATTTTATAGGTGCGAGAGGTAGTTATAGTTTTCATAGTTTCGTGTGCATTAATATTTTAAATGCAGCAAAAACTAATACAATCCTACAAAAAATAATTATTTTTCTTAACAATTGAATAGACAAAATGGAGGATAACATTAAAAATAAAATAGAAGAAAGTTGAAATTGTTTGAAAATTTGAGGGTTGGGCTCATCATGGAAAACTAAACCAGTTTTTGAGTTAAGATTAAACCACCTTCTGGAATTTACAAAAGAGAAGAGTTCAAGAGTAGAAACAAGACATGTTTTCGGTAACTTGTTGATATCAATAATAATTTAAACTTTTCAAGGGATTATTTTCTATTATACCGATGTACAAAAATAAAATTATTATCTAGACAATAAAATTTTTTTCAATGATTTTTTTATTGATACAAATCATATATAAGACACCGAATCAAAATCAATTGAATGAATATTTCAAAAGTTATTAAAGTTTCTGTGTACAAAATGTACAGTTTTGTACTTACATCTGGTTACATTTCTGATGTTGTCCTGTTGACAAGTGAACTACTAGATTTTACTTAGAGAAAAAAAGAAATACAAAATGACTAAAATATGGTAAAAATTACCATGTTTCTATTTCAATGGGAACAATAAAAAGCTCCTTAATTTTTATCGAAGATCTTTTTGTAAAAAAAAAAAAATTAACTAGAAGAATTTGGTATTTCAATCATGATCATGACAGGATCGGATAAATTTATTTTTTAGTTTTGTATTTTTTACTAAACATGTAGGAACAAGAACTGTAATTTTAAAAATAATAATTTCAGGAAAACCGCTACCATAAGTTTACGTTTTTTTAAAGATTTACGTTTTGTTTTTAAATACTAGAAATGCCATTACTACATTATTCGGTTAATTATCACTGAGTTTTTTCTCCGAGTCGTATTTTTCAATTTCTCATTAAATGAGACCAAAATTAAATCAATATGTTTACTCGTTGTGAGAGAGCTATAATGCCGTCGTGTATTAAAGGTGCAATTTCTGCACATCCTCTTACTTGTTTATGTTCCTGACAATGCTACCTAGATAACTAAGAAAATAATTTATATATATATTTTTTTTTACCTTTTAAAATCAAAAGTAAATTGATAGAACTAATAGTTTCGACGCAATGAGTGTTATACGAAAAGAAATATAAGTAAAGAATTTTAAAAGATAGGTTTGGGCGTCATTCGCTTCATCGTAATACCATATATGAAATCATAGGTCTATGTGGTCTACGTGTTAATATCAGATGCGTAGGTGGGCTTAGGTATAAAACTGTACTTTTTACACAGAAAAATTTTGATTATCTCTGTACTATCCTATTGATTCCTATCGATTTTGTTTAGGCACCATTTAATCATTATGTGCTGCTGTTAACGTATGCCTGTTTAGGCAGTGGAGGTGCGATTGTTCTTGTTTTCCAGTGGCGCCATCTATGGTCAAGAATTCGACTTCTGACACACCATACGTCACACCCGTTTATAGGGTGCACCCATTCATACATCCATTCATTCATCCACAAATCGTAATTCTAACCTGAATCAGAGAAATCCTTAATCATTTTGAAACATACATAAGTAACGGATCTATACATTAATGTTTAAGTTCCTTCACCTTTTGACTTCATTTCTTCTTAAGCAAATTCAAGAAAGTATCTAAATTTCCCCTTGCAATTTTCTAATTATTTTCATACTCAACTACTTGAGAATTGAATAAGTGCACCTCAAAAAGAAGAGGATCACAAATACCAACACATGTGATCTATGACGTCAGTGTCAGCTGATCACATATAAGTAATATGGCATGTTCAGCTAAGTTTCTCCACTTAAGTTTGAATGTTAAATAACGTAAAGTTAATTAAATACACATCGAAATTTCTGAAATATAATTCCTTCCCATCCACGTCTTTTGCTTAATTTAGATTTACTATTTGCTTAGATATTTCATTGTAACCATGATATATTTTTGTTTTGTGTTTATTACGCTTTTACATTGATTGCGCGTATTGTAATATTTAAGTGCTTAGAAATTATTCATCGCTTTAAGGAATATTATATTTCTCTGGGAAAGTAGAAAATGACTTAAAAAAACTTAAATGAATTAAAATATTTTTTTTATTTTACTTTGACGCGTCTCTTTCGCCAAAATAGGATAAAAGAGAATTCTTTGGTATGAAAATGCATTATTTTATTTTAAACTCTTCCGAATAACTTTTTCTTCTAAACCGCATGAAATTTTAGACATGAAAGCAAATCCGCCAACTATTTATTGCCACCTCCGTGCGATCAAATTTTGGTGACGTTATCATTGAGCCACACCCAATCCTCACTTCATCATCCAATCGTAAATAGAAGCTGATCCACAAGTGGTTCTAACGGACTGGTCACATGATGAAAAATACCCTATATAAATGGAGAGTTGTTCTTTGCTCAACTCTTCTCCTTCTTTCTTGAAGCAGCTTCCAAAATTTCTTTCTCTTTGACTCATCGCTATTATTTTTCAGAGCAGTTTGATAATCGTCATTCTTCTTTGATTCTCTTCCTTTCTCTATCGCCTTTCTCTTGAAGGTAAAAATATTTTATTTAATTAATTGAATCGAATGAAATTACCTTATTGAAATGTAATTTTTAATTAACTGAAGACGTTAAGCAACTATATAAATGTTTTTATTTTCTCTTAAGTTAATTAATCAGGTATTTTCTCTTAATGATATACTTTTTTTTAACTTTTTACTCTTTTTACGATTTGTAACTTTCTACACTTTTTATTGAATCATTTTCGCAAAAAAAATTTTTTTTATAATTATTTATTCGATTTTCTTCTTTAACATAAAACTTTGCTAACAGTTTGTTTGAATAATTGCATTACGCTTAAAGTGATAAGTAAATGTATTTTCTTTGCTTATTTCTCAAAGCGATGATTTGTATCTTGGTCTTCTATTTACCTCTATTGACACATAAATTATAAATTTAAATATTTTAAAGTATCAATGAAAGTTAATATTTGTAAAAATAATTTAGTAAAAAACTAAGCAAATGCTTCAGTTTTTTACTAAATAAAAACCATTTTCGTTAGAATGTGCTTATTTTATACAAGAAAGGAAAAATAGTTGACTATGTGTTATTTAAGAAAAACTTCATATATTTCCGTACAGTTACAGATTTTTTATAGAAAATAGTACGTAAAAATATGCAAAACACTACTATTTGGTTTTATCACTATTTTTTAAATGACGTAAAGTTTTTTGAGTAAACATACTGAGAGGACAAATCTGATGTTTTCGTATAGTTCTGAATATATAGCTCTTTTCTTTTTCTAAAAATTAATGAATTAATTAAATTTTATTATTATTAAATAAAACGCTATTTATTAAATTCGTAACTTTAAAAATAGAGAAACGATGTTTGTTAAAATTAGTATAAAATATAAATGAATGCAAGTGTAGGTAACAGATAATTGCTCAAGTAATAATTAAACTTTCATTCAAATATTTATATAGTTTACTTTTATAGTTATGTTCAAATGAAACTTTTTAAGCAATTTACGAAATGAGATAGTTTTATTTTTAAACTTATTCTATGACATTAAGAGGAAAGCTTGGCATAATCATATTTTAATGATACTTGTTCTGTGTTTGTGATATATTATAATACATTATGATACATTCAATAATTTATTCTATTAATTAATTTAGTAATTTATTCAATTAGTATATTATTTTATTATGATACATTCAGTAATTTCTTTCAAAATGTAACATTTCCCGAGTATTTTAAAACTTTATCTAAAAATAATTAAAAATACTTAATTGTATTACTTTAAACAGGACACAATGTTTTTCATTTTCAAATCAATAAAATCACATTAATTGAAAAATATATTGTTAGGAATATATCAATCAGTTTGCAAAGCTAAGTAATAGCGTAATGTCCATAAAATTTAAATACTAGCTATGTTCACAATGCCTTATTTTATGATTTTTAAAATGATTTAAATATAAATATCTTGCGACAAAAAAATTATATCCTATTCTTAAAATAATTATCCTTTGGAGAAAAATCTGATAATTCTATGTTACTCAAAAGATAATGAATTTCGTATTTTCAAAATATTGTATAATGTACATCTACATTGTATAAAACATTGTAAATTTTAAGTGATGTTTTAACTGAGAACCAAAATTTTCTCCTCAATAGCCTTGTAGGTATGTATTTTTGTTTTTATATATTTTTGCCACTTCATATTTTAGATATTTTCAAGCACGCTATGTTTTCATTAATTCTAAATTATTCAAAGATACCTGAAAATTTAAAGTAAAATTACGTTAGTTATAGTGATGTTATGAGCAATTAAAAGGCTTCACCCCCAGCTCTCTTCGTTTGTCAACCCCCATAAATGCTATTCATTCATAGTTTGGTTTTTCATAAAAAGTTGATATTTTAAACAAAAGCCTTTTGTTGATTAAATATAAAGTTATTATAATTTTATGTAAGAGCGTATTTTTTTAATATGTGAAGCGTAATGAAACTAATGACTTGCTGTATATGTAAATTAATCGTAAAATATTCTTAAAATATTACTTAAATATTTAGAGATCTACTAACCTGCAGTTGTCATGAAGATATATTTTTAGTTTAGTATTATATATAGTGGTGGTAAGAAACGTGCTAACCCTCAAAATTTCTGCGCAATTAAACCAAGCTCTATGGTTTAATTGCACAGAAATTTTCCTGCTTTGCACTATTTTTATATTTGAAAACAGGGAGAAATCGGCTTTTTGAAACAGGAAAGCTGGCATCTAAAAGTTTAAGAAATGCCGGAACTAATACCCAGAAGGTTAAATGATTCATTACTATTACTAAATTTTAAGATAAATCTTTGATTAGGCATTCCACGAAAAAATATTCGCTAATTACTAACACATAACTTACTATAATATGATACTATTTATTTATTTTCTATTATTTTATATTTATGTATTTATATTTTTTATTTACTGAATCAGGTATTTTTTCATATAATACTTAATTTATATAAAAATACAGTGAATTTTTAGTTAAAAAATAAATTGTTTTAATAATTTTTTAAGAGTTTTTTAAATTTAAAATATTGATATTATTTGGAATTTTTATAACAGATGAAGATTGATTTTTTAATCTCTGCAGAAAAATAGTAATGATTTTTCAAATCTTTTTATTAATAAGTGTTTTCTAATTTAATTTTAAAAAAATTATTAATTTATAATTAAATGTAAAAAAAATGATTTTATTTTGATTAAAAAGTTCTAGAGATACAGTGAGGTACGAAAAAAGTAAAATTATGAAATTAACATTAAAGGGTTAAAATTTTTAACCATTCTCCTGAGCAAGTTGTTATATTTCCTAGATCCCCTTATATTTGTGTGTCAAAAAACAAAATCTATCGAAAAAAAAGTATGTTTGTTCAGAGAAAGTTCTATCACGCTTACGTCACGTTAGTTTCTTGTATCACGTTAAATGATCATGAAAAATATTCCATTAAACCATTGGTACTTACGTGTATATTATGCTTAATTATTATTTAAAACAATAGTTGTTAAGATTATTTACGCAAAACAGTATTTATAGACAAAACAATGAATTTTAAACAATAAAGTTTCAAATTAAAAGATTGAAAAGATTTGGTTTATTTAACTTAAAATTTAATATGCTTAAAAATTTTGATAATTAGGTCAAATTTTCCATTTGCCACCATCTAATCTCTCATTTTTCTATTTTTTTAAAATTATTTTATTTATTATTATCATTACTATTATATTTTTATTTTTGATATATAAATATGATTAATTTTGATAAAAATAAACACGTGAGAAATGAAAAAATAATTTCCCAATAATGGATAAATTTCATTATTTATGGTTAAAAGAAAGCAAAAAAAAAAATGCTCAAATTGCAATAGCTTTCCAACAATTTAGAATTTAAAAGTCAAGTTTATAATGGAAAATTTTCCCTTTATCACTTCGAAATTGAACTGCTAAGGCAAATATGTATTTTTAATCGAACCTGAAACATTTCGAGAATATTTCAAGATATTAAACTTTCCAAAAGCTAGTTTTCCAAGATACAATCCAATTTTTTACAGTTGATCTTATATAAACGGCTTTTTTAACTATTTTTAGCCAGCACATTAAGTTGAACGCTTTTCATGACAAATTCCGATCCTTACAAACAGAAATTATAAAATTCAAAAACACTTTTTTTATTTAATTACCAAACTTACAAATGTATTAATGAAATAAACTAGTTTTTCTTTTAACGTAATAAATAAAATGCGTAATAGTAAAATTTGCAAAAAATTATGCCCCATTTAAAAATATTATGCACGCATTTCTTAATGAATTTACAAATTTGTAATTCCAGCATAAATATATTTATCGAACTAGACTTTTATTTTTAAGATTAGCCTAAAAATAAATAATTTAAGCTCATAAGCTTAGAATAAAATATCGTATTTCTTTTTAAAATCACATATTTTGTATTGTTATAATTAGTTATTGTGAGAAAAATCACTACTGTCAAAATGATAAATGTCTTTAAGACCATTACTTAATTTATTACTTTTACAAAAAATAGAAACTGCTAAGAAAATATATGCTTTATTAGAACCTCTAATGAGTAAAACTCCTCTCTCTTACTTTTTATAAACCAAAACTGTAATTAATTTTATTCTCAAAACCTCGATATTAATTTTTATACCTGTCAAAATTTGGAAAAACTTTGTGCATGAAATGTTTAAAACAACATTTTATATCTGGTTTAAATTTAAAATTGTGTAAAGTAACTGTTCAAATCTTTCACAAACTCATAATATAAAAAAAGTAAAATTAATCTCATATTTTGTTTCAATTTTTAATTATGTATCGTTTAAAATTATATTTAAACTCTCATGTATCTTTTCATTTGTAATCACGACAGTGTTAGTATTCAAAACAGAATAATGTCAAAATCGAATAAGATTTTATTTATGTTTAATTTTTAAATACTTATTTTATATTTATATTTATAAAGAAAACGTCAAAAACCCAATATTAAGAAGGAAAAGGCCATGCATCATGTTTACAAACATATATTACTTTTGTGTAATCCAATAACTTTTCTTCTTATAGTAAGTATTTGATAAATGAAGAATATTTACAAGCAAATACATCTCATTGTTTGTTTGGTTGACATTTTTTCTATATTCGTTTAAATCTTTTCAGATTTGGAAACAAAGTTATTACATTTCAAACTTTGTCACGGCTTATTACAATCTTTACTAACATGGTTATTACACGCAAATGTTTCATTGAGATAAAACTTTTTGATAATTTTTTTTAAATACAAGACCCTAAAAAGGATTTTTCAAAAGAAAAAAATTGATATAGTTTATTGCTTAGAAATATTAATTTCTAAACTATTAATATGGCCTGTAAATTGAAATTTACTTATAAAGAGAAATGTGTACAATTAATTCCGTAATACAAATTTAATTTCATTTAAAAATTTAAACTTTTTAAAACATATTTTCGAACCACAGTTAAGTAAATTAT